TAATTAGACATAAATTACCCTTTTTATTGCTATCAGTATATAATTATTAGTATTTACAGCAATTAAAAAGTCTATAAAATATTATACTCACTGAACAGTATACTCAAGATACAGTATAAAGACACTAATTATTGCATAAACAGTAACATTCAACACTCTATTGCAACATATATTTACACGTGAAATACATTTATCAAATTGTTTGTACAAATCTCAGGTGTTTTTGTGTACAAATCACTCACGGGTTAGGACAACATCCTGTTCCGGCTCGAGGTCTTTAGATCGTTGGCGTTTTGTAGTCAATGTTTTCTTGCGTTTAAAGTCAATATTAGTGCCAAAGGCTTCGGTATCGTTGTCTCCATCAGTCCTGTCGTCAATACTGTCTGAGATAACACTGATATCCGTTGAATCAGTGGTCGAATCCGTTTCGTGTTTATTCGCTTCTTTCGCTTTCTTAGTCTTCAGATAGAAGTATCGGCCGATTATAACGACTCCGATATAACAGACATATACGGCTACCAGAGCTGTATTTCAAATACCATAAAAGCATATAATAAGTAATTTATTTAATAATTGCATTATTGACAATAAAAGTTGTTGTTGTTATCAAATTTTATAAATTAATTTATAGTATTTATAAAATACTGCGATATATACTGTAATCAGTGATATAATTGTTATAACATAGTATCAGATTAGAAAAGCATGTGATCGGAGGTCTCATACCAATTGCATGTTTGAGATAAATCCTAGTTTTCCATATAATAAACCACACCATAAAAGTGGCCCCAATGTAAAAGGCAATGTCCCGCATCAGTGGCCGCTGCATCACCTCAAACTGACCCGTCAACAGCACACTACCCACCACTACTGTTGTCACAAATATTCCGGCGCCTATAATCAGTTGTTTTGCACATGGTTAGTTTAAGTTATTAATTCAATAAAATTATACCTAAAAGGCCTGAAAATATAAGCTGTGGTTTGCTTTGCGTTACGCCACTGATGGACGAGAATATATCGGGCGCTCCATTTCCAAAGGCTAGGAAAGTGACGCCCTGTCCCACACAAACACACAGTATTACAGTTAATTAATTTGTTTTTTTAAATTAATTAATGTTTAACTTACGGCTATGTTATCGGGAAGTCGTAATGTTTTGGATATTGTGAGCAAAGCTGGACATAAACTATTGATAAAATTAACATTAATTATATAAATTTCAATAAACATTAAAAATAGTTGTTAAACACATACAACTCGTCGGCGACGACACCCATCGATAGGAATAGGAATAATAGTATACCAAAGAGTACGACGAGAGAGACGGCCCGGTATTGATCTCCGAAATCGCAATATACCATTCGTGTGAAGTCATAGATAATGCCGTCGTAACCGCAGTCCGCAATGTTTTGAGTGAAATTGCATTTCGCGGTCGATGTGTTCAATGTGTTTACTAATAGACACTATTAATGAAAAAAAATTACAATGTTAATTCATATCACATCAATATTGCAATCGATGGGCTGTTATCTATAAAATTAGCTAATAGACGGATAATTAGTTTTGTCAAACAAAAGGGCTGTTAAATAAAATTGTGTAACAGAGAGTTATAACTAAATTGCAAAAGTATTATAAAATTTAAATAATTAAAACAATATATCTGATAAAAATAAATTACTTATGTATGGGAAATTGAAGCAGGATAAGTTTATACTTACTTTAAGTTGACTCGGCTCATCCATTATAAGCTCAATTATTGAAGACATGGTGACAATAAGGGCTCCTTTTATGCCTTCGTTCGACAATTAAAAACAATTATATCTTTCGGTAATAAAAGAATTTAATAAATAAACAATTTAATAAATCAACAAAAATCTCTTTATTGAAGTCGTGTTTGTTATCAAATGCATCCACACTTTGATTTACACGATATATCACTTTAACTGTTCATTACATGCAATAAATTAAAAGTTTTCTTTAAAAAATAAGTTAGAGATAATATTTAGTTATTTTGTCTCAATTTTCAATGAGATAGAGTTAATCTAATAGACGACTTAATTAAAATAACATAATACTAGTTATAATCAGTCATAAATCCAAACCAAACTAATTTGACGTCAATTAAAACATTATATAAAGCTTTTAATACAAGCATATAATGAGAATGTAATGAAACAAATGTTTGTCGAAAAGGATTTTATAGTTTATATATAAGAGGTTCAGTAAATCAGATAACATAAACATTTCAATAACACAATAGTTTCTAAAGTGTATCTAATTTTAAAGATATAATAACTATATAATTATATTTTATATATTGATAAAATGGATAAACACTCAATAAAATACATTAACAATCAATATGTGCTCGCTTATATGACCATAAACCACAAGGTGCAATTAATTTCTTATTAAATTATAACATTTTTCTTAATTATTTAATTTATCTAGATTTAATTTTAGCCAATTTAGTAGAAAATAAAGTTATTGAACATAATTTACTTGAATAAACAATAACAATGATTTTAATGATATATAAATATTGATTAAGAAGGCAATAATTATCAGCAAAAAAAACTTTATATTAATGTAAATTATAACTAAATACTAGTAAAATCCAGTAATTAATATCAAAACTAATCTGTAAACTTTAAATAATAGGAAATTAAATCAAGTTCTTATATCTATTAAGTATATTATTGTTATTGAGAATTATATAATTATAATCAAAATCAATGTTTGTTTTGAGAAAATTCATGTGAAATGCAATTATGTTTTGTTTTTTAATAACAAAGGATACCGTTATCGATATGAAGAAGCGCTAAAATGCAATATTTGTTTTAACCGGAATTATTTTAATTGTTTATTAAATACCCGATAAGTATATTATAATTAATTATAGATATAATAAAAGTTTTAAAGTAATTATTAAATATTAGAGTTTAGGGGTTTATTATTAATATAATTTAATTGAGCCTCGATTTAGATAAGTATTAATTGACAGATAAGTGTTTTAGTGAATGAATATTGTTTAACAATTATACAAAATATACTGGTATTAATATTTTTACTTAATTAACTCTAAATCAATTTGAGTATTGGAGCACCTATATCCTTTTGGAAATTTCTATAAGTAATTTGTTTTTATATAAAAAAAAAGTGCAAATGTTATTTGTAAAAATCTATTATGTGACTAAACCTATAATTCAGATTATGTAAATGTTTTTAGTAATCTATTCTTTATAATAACATTAAGTACAATGGATACATGTGCAAGGTAAATGAGATTAGGGGATGTCCACAAATTACATTCGCACTTGGGGGAGGGTAGGTACAATTTAAAATATAGCCAAAATAGCATTAAAATGTTTTATAAAATATAAAACCTATTGAGTTATATTGCTGTACAGTTAGTATAAGATAGTGAAATTTGCCAATTATTTACCGGGAGACTAAAATAAATGGAACTGGATTAAAACTAATTGTGTACTTGATGTGTTGGTACACATTAATTGTGTACTTTCAATTCTAAAACTAAAATGTCAACTTTTAAAACACGATTGCATGCATTTATGATACGGAATCAATTGACGTGTGAATTTTACACGTGTTGTTTAAAATATTCATTCAATGAGTTTCATTTATATTTCAGTGTCTGTACCAACATTTGCACAATCGGTTCCATAGCATAACATCTAATCAATTCACATAACTTTTACTATAAATGTTTGTAAATCTATTTATTATATAATCATTAATTGGAAACGAATGCAAACGATTTATATTTAATTTTGAAAGATTAATAATTTTTATAAATAACTGATAAATAATTCCTAGTAATGCATAAAATTAAAAATTATAAAACAAGAATAGAAGATGATCATTCGTGTTAATAATTAATGTATATTATAAATTCAATTAAAACTAATAACTAAATTTATAATTAGTTAGCCTGGATATTGATTAAATAAAACATGATGTTTTGTGTTTATTATTGCATAAAATTATCAAATCATAATAAACTTTACTTTTGTTTTGTAATCTGAATTTCAGATATAAAATATTAATAGAGATCACTAACTATTAGTTCTATTAATGATATAGTATTATATGGTTTTCTATAATATTATGTACCCGCACATAAGAATTTTCCAAAAATGTCACTTTTTCAATAGATAACCCGCGGGTAATGCACGAAATTTTAGAGTAATCACAGCCTTTAATGTTAAATATTAAATAAATAAAATAAATAATATTAAATAAAATTATATATCTATACTGATATACTGTATTACAGTATTATAGATTTGTGGGCAATCTATCAAATAAAAGCTGGCTAAATAAATACATTATTATGCACTTAATCCATAAAATATTATAAATTAATAATTGTCTTAATAATTAAAAATGTTAAAATTAAAAGTTCTGATAATTATTAAAAGTGATTGAATATCTGTGTTATTACTGTAGATCAGGTAATACTTATTCATTAAGGTAAATAGAAGTTTAAGAGATTTGCTCTAGTGGTTAACTTTAGCCTAACATGATTCCATAGAATTAACAAGTAGGAATACTCATTTAAATGTAACAAATCATCTTGTGTTAAATTGTGGTCATTTAATTAAGTTGAGATCTTATACTATTACTTAACGGTATTATTAGACGTGGGTTGAAAATGGTATCGTTCGGATTTGTTCAGCATAAATAATTAACCAATATGTTATCTAATTTACGTAGGTGTTAATTATATTATGATAGAATAAACAAGATACATATAGTTCAAATATAAAATATACTAAACAATTATATGAACAATATAAATAAATTATAATTATTATTTAAATCACTGTAAAAATTCTAATAGTAAAACACTTAATACTCACAGCAATTGTAACAATAATCACAACTAAAGAATCACAATTTATATTACAATTATTAAAAATATTTGTGCCTTATTAAAAAGTTAACCATAATATAAGAACTACACTATTATAATGAAGCGCCCAATATTTATATACCTGTAATATAATCATATCGTAAGTGACTTTGAACAAGTACACTTTACAGTGTCGGCCGCCCTTAAAATCTTCAATTCATTTACGCATTCAAATAATCTGTTGTTTAACTAAAACCAAACTTTTTTGTTGAACGAGTTTGAATGACAATTGCTGTTAATTAGCGCCGCCCACTAATTATGCTCGCAATTTGAGTTCACTATTTAATAAGTGAGTTTTGTTGCTTCAATCAAATTATCATTTAACCATATTGATTTTGTAACTTTGCAAAGTATTATTATTTTTCAGTCGTTTACTTGAAAAGTTGAAAATAATATTTATTAGTCATTTAAATACATTTGAAGCACATTTTTTAATGAATTAATCAACAAAATTCTTGTGCAGAATCTTTGATGAAAATTAATTTTCACATATTTTAATTAAACACATTTATAATTCGCACAACATTTACATTTGGACTTTAATTTTTTAAAAATTATTACATCGTTATGTTTGACTTCTGTCTGGAAAAACAATTAATTAATAAAAATAATTTTTGCCAATTGTCTGGTATTATATAAATTTTGATGAATTTCACTTCTATTGCAGTTTATTTCACTGCAAATAAGTATAGATTACACTCACTTGAAGATCTGGAGGCAGAACTTTTGCACATCATTTTGCCAAACCATTGATTGTAATATTTAACTACAATTCAACGCAAGATATGCTGTTTATATGATCACATCCTATCCTTTTAGGACCCAACAAAGTGTTTTCAACAAGATGTACAGTAGTTAACTCATATAGTCATCTCATTTCAAACCTTGTTATTTGTGTTTTAGCCCTTCACTACCTCTTCACTAAAACTCACATTTATTACTGAAATTATTTACCTGAATATCATGTCATTATAATTACCTGTTATTAATAGGTCTTGTGATGTAGAAAACAGGCAAATAATTGTGAGATTCTTTATGCAAACAAAATATTAAAAACATATTATATAACAAAGTCGGCGATAAATGAGGCACAGAATGAGTGTCAGTATAATATAGAAAGTACTGACAGCCCCGGCGACGATGAAAAGCATCCAAAACACTTGCCGGTGCTTTGAACACCATTTGCCGCACAAATTGTCGCTCTCGTCGTCACCGGAGGCACAGTTACTGACATTATCGCAGATAAGGCTCTTCTGGACGCACCGTTTGTCACCGCAATTGAACCAATCGTTGCGTTCATCGCATCCACTCGTCCTATCGGTGAACATAAATGCAGTGAAAATAAGTTCAAAATTTTTGCCAAACGTTGAGTTCTTTGAGGAAGAAGTGAGAAAAGTGAGCGACACTTCGTTTCTGGCGCTCGAATACACGCTTTCCTCGAAGTCGTTGCCACTGAAGGACTTCATGTCATTTCTGTCCAAACTTAACATCAGTTCGTCTTTTGGCAAAACATTTTGCGCTCTTCTGTTTGAGTAATGATTTTCTGGACTTAGATTTGTTCTCAAATTTATCTGCAATCAAATAATATGATCAAAATTACATACAATTAATACAATTATTTCTTGTTTTGATATTAATTTCTAGTGAATGATAATTAATTTCAATCATAATTGTAATATAATTATTACATATTATTTATATGATATTAAATATGTTTAGGTTTATATAATTAGGAATTATTAATCATATTTCAAAAACAATGTTTAGACCGTGTTTTTTGTGTACAATAAACCTAAGAAGTCATAATAAAATTTTGTTTTATTCAAAAAATAAAATACAAAATAACTAAAATTTAATACGTTTAACAAAACCAATATCAGTCAACTTATTGATAACCGAAAAATTCAATAAATAGTAACTCTTCAATACTGGTGAGCCGTCCCTATGAACCAAAAGGCATTGCATTATATTCTGGTTATACATGCCATTGGGTCGACCCCTCGCACAAGTGGCCCGACGACCGCTTGGCGTCACAAACAGCACATCTCTCTTCTCGACCGACAGTTTTGCAACAATTTCGTCAAACGTTTTGCTCTCTTTGGGGCTTCCGATTGACTTATCAAACATGTAGTCAAAGTATGGGTTCAGGTCTATATTGGCCGACGTTTGGGACAGGAGTTTACGAGTCGTCGTCTCGTCAAACACGGAAAACAAAGCGACTTTCAGTTTATGAGTCTTTTTAAAGGAGTTGAGCGCCGGCAACACATCCGGGAATATATTGGGTCGGATGTGACCGCCAGTGAGACCATCGGCGACGACCATACGCTGCAACTCTAGGCCCTCATCACAATCGCGACTGTTATTCATTTGCCATACAATAAACCTATTGACGGATTCAACGACATTGGAATCGCTGGGATCTCCCTCTTGAATGATCGGACACTCGGGATAGCCGTTGCGATAGCGCTCGACCGACGACTGGTGTCTTATAAGTGGTATCAGATCCACGACTCGAGGGTTACTGACGTTTAATTGGAATCGCTGGGATCTCCCTCTTGAATGATCGGACACTCGGGATAGCCGTTGCGATAGCGCTCGACCGACGACTGGTGTCTTATAAGTGGTATCAGATCCACGACTCGAGGGTTACTGACGTTTAGTTTGAGATAATTGAGAAGATTTTGTCTGATGTATGAACTAAATAGTGTATTATCCAAATCGTCGCCAACGATAACGCCCTCAAAGCCCAAGAGTATAATCTTCGGCTCAAAGACATTAACCTTTGTTTCAGTATCTGTTGAGTTGTCAATCATTGTGGTGTCGATCACACATATAATTGATGTTTTGAATTATATGTTTAAATTAATGTAAGACTTATTGTTAACAAATGACATAAAAAAAACAGTATTATAAGTACTTCTCATAAAAAGAGACTCTTATATGAAATAAACGGCATTTATTTTTAAAAATTTAAATATTTAAACTAACAAGAATCGATTAATATTTTTAATTTACGCTCTATTACAAATGTAAATATAATAATTATTATAAAATCATAATTTTTATGATAGAAATATGTAAATTATAAATACCATTCGTTTAACGACATTAATGCCATAGTTTTGCGGCACTTTTACCACAAGAGTACACCTTATGGCCGGTCTGTACGCACCGGTCGGCTGAACAGCGCCCACAATAATTGCCGACTTATACGAGTGCTGACCGATTGTCACGACTGTTGTGTTTCGGCGACAGAATATATTGTCATCCAAATAGTAGTTCTCATAATTAGCCCACAAATACTTCACTTGAAATAGTATTAAAATACATATATTTTTAACAAACATTATTATTGCTCCAATAAAATTGCTTAATTGTGAAAATTGTTTTTAAGTTTTTATTAAACAAAATTGATTTGTTTTTAAATAATAGACACAATGATAGGCTCTATGCATTAAATTCTGGATTCCTATTAAAGTACATTAGTTTTTAAGGTAATTTTCCGCTTTAGTGAACATCTCTAATGTCATGGGTATAACCGGTGCTCTAATTTCATTATAATATGGTTAGTTAATAAATGCATATTTTATATATCACATACATATGCATGTATGTAGCTTATGTTACATGTTTCATAATTACTATATACAGTGTATTCCCAATATATAGCATAACAATATAGCATAATGTTATATTCATATACATGTGCATAATATGGATGTGCAATATATTCTGTGCAAATATTCTGTGTAACATACAATTCTGTATAAAGCAATTCAATACAATTCAATCGTTTGTAGTATATTTTACTATAATATATAAGTTTTAAGTTAGAAATTTACATTAAAAATAATAAGTTATTAATAATTATAGAAATGAATATTTTAATAACATTTATAACATTTGAAACAAAAAATAATAAAAAGATTATTTTAAATCAATAGGATTTTACAGTTCAGTTGTTGTGATGGACTTTTGAGTTAGTTTTGCGTTGTCTTTAACGTCCATATCTTTAATGGACAGGAGATCTGTTTCCGGGTTAACACTGCTATCGGAATGAGTAGGCGTTACCTTCGCTCCGGACACTACCGGTTCAGTCGATGACATCGGCGGTGGTTGTGATGGTTGTGATAGTTTTGGTTCTATAGTCGACGGCTGGACAACCGATGCTTCACCAGTCGGTGCCGTCTCCTTAGGCGTGTCGTTAGTGACCGCAGTTTTGGGATCAGATGTTTGGCCCGTATTTGAAGACGGGATTGTGATTGCGGACGGAGTCTGTTGTGAAGGCTTTGTCGCCGACTGTTTAGGTAATTCCAGTTCTGTTACACTGTCTATACATTTAGTAAAGAAATTACAGTTTTATTATAGAAATAATAATTTTAACAACTATTATGCGGACCAGTAGTTGGTGTGAGATCCTGACGGCCGTGAGGCTCGTCGTCCATATAATAAGCCGTAAGAATCCTATATTTCAAATACAATTAGTTTATCACAAAAAGTGATGTGAGATGTGATAATAGGATAATACAAACCAACAAATTCCCAGCGATATAATGATCAAAAAACATATTACAAGCAATATAGTGGACAAATATGGGATCGTTTTTTGGTTAATATTTGCATAATCACTTGAATTGGTCGCATTTCCGTCATTGGTATTATTGATTGTTATAGACATTGTCAACAGATCAGTGGTTTGCAAATTTGTCCCCAATATATTGCATATAATTAGAGTAATAGCTAAATATAGTGTAAATTTATTCATATTTGTTGACTGTATTTAACGCTAATTTATTGTCAAACTAATTGTAACACTAACTGAATTACTAAAACAAATCATTAACCATGCTAGTATTATATTGTAGTCATTTAAAATAAAACATTATTAATAAATCGCGAGTAAACAGTCAATTGATTTATTGAACGTGTTAAATAAATACTCATTTAATTTGTAAGCGTGTTTCCAACTATTGGTTAGTACAATGTGTAAAATAATCATGGTCAGTATGTTAAGCCGGGGGTTTACATACTTCCAATGCTAGTCAACAAGGTACAATTTATATCATACATTTAATTATGCATTATATTTATAATGAATAAAACATTTTATTTTAAACTTAAATATTGTTTGAAAAACAATTACATAAGAAAGTCAAAACACTAACTTAATTCAACACGAATTGATATAACTTTAAATTGTATTTAAAGCTTAGAAATGCCGATCAAATACTTAAATATTTGCAAAGCGGCCTCTGGTTTATCCTCAGGAACCATATGTCCGGCCCCGCGAACCAACACAAATGTCAGACCATTTTCGTAGTGTTGAACAAAACNCCTCTGGTTTATCCTCAGGAACCATATGTCCGGCCCCGCGAACCAACACAAATGTCAGACCATTTTCGTAGTGTTGAACAAAACCACCGATTGCTCCGTCAGGGGTTCCGTCCTCTTTCCACTGACTGTCGTGTTTATAAAAAATGTTTATATTTTAAACAATAAGTTAATACCAGATATTGTATAAATGATATCACAAACCGATAATCTTCAGCCTTTTTGCTATTCGTGTTGACAGCGATTCCGTCAACAAAGCGCTGGCCTAACACGAAATCACAGGCCGTATCGAAATCGCCGTTATAGACAACATATTTGCCTATTTTATACTTTTGGATCAACTCAATGGTTGTGTTTACTTGCGATGTAACGCCTCCACCATAGTTACCGCCACATCCGGTCCATCTTTTGGCATCTTCTCGTACGTGTAGTGCCTTTCGTACGGCCGACAGGTTTAGGTAAGGCGTGTGACCATTCTTAGGACACTTTACTTTATTCACTTTCCCCGCGTTTTGCGCGTTTGATATGATTTTAATGCCCAAACTCTCGTAACGAGGCTTATAGTGTTTGTTGTAAACAGCATTTAAGTAGAGGTCTGGCGAACAGTTGTCGTATATATTGTATGCGTTTGGCGTAGAAATGGGAGGACTGATCACTTGTATGCACTTTCTGTTTTGTTCATAAAAATGATATTTTGTTAGAAGTGTTTCTAATGTGAAATTGAATTAATCTTGTATTTAAACATGATTTAAGGCTAACGTCATATTCGGAGCTTTTAAAAAATTGCATTCGTGTTGAACGCCGGGCGTTGACTGACAACAGGCCTCAATCTTCTTCGCGTACCAATCAGTGGTCACTAATCCGTGCCCTAAAGCGAAGTCAATGGACGACATGTAATCATCAAATGCGTTAAGCAATCCGTTTCCAACAGCCAATCCTATTATTGACATAATTTTTATTTCATTTGTTATTAAAATATATGTATTTAATAAATACCCTTCAAATTGATGGTTGATTTTCTTTTAAATATCTCATTGGCCAACATTGGGATATAAACGCCGGCATAACTCTCGCCCGTTATATAAAACGGGTTTTTCTTCAAATGTGGATACTTTTGAAAGAAGCTCTCGAGGGCTAAGTAGTTGTCATTAGCGGTTGACTCATCGGTATTGTCGGGTTCTTTAGTGGTTTCATCATAACTAAAACCGGTAGAGACGGGAGACTCCATGTATACCATATTCGCCACTTTATTCCACGCGAAGTCATGCAATGATAGGGTCTTTCCGTCTTCATTGGCCCGAAAGGGCCCGTTCTCTG